TTATACATTGTTTAAACAATTTATTATATTTTATTAAATAAAATTCAAAAAATTTATATGAAATTCGATAAGTCGGTTTACTCGATAAGTCGGTCAAATGTGCCCGCCCCCACGTGACCGACTTATCGAGTTTATATATGTATAGTGAATTTTGAATTTTTTTTTCTAATTTTTTTCCCTCAAATAAAAGATATATATATATTATTACTATATACCACCATTACTGCCACTGCAATTACCAATACCAATACCAATACCCGATTCAAAACTCCAATTTGACAGCAGGTTTTTGTCGATATTTTTGTGAAAAAAAATTTTTTTTAAGGAGAATTGATAATGCTGCATTTTCAACTTCAATTGTTCAAATTTTTGAATAATATTTCATCAATAATTCAACTCGAATGCATGACATTACTTTTATACCTTCCATTCCATAATCATAATCATAATCATAATCATCATCAATCGTTTAAATTCCTAATAATTTACAAATCATTAGAATTACTTCGAAAGTAGATGAATATTTTACGAAATTTAGAAGTTCCGTATTTGTGCGACCCATATAGTGGATTGGGAAAAATTTCGACTGGCACTTTAAAAAATCATACTAAGGATACCGACTGCAACTTTTGATGATGGTTGCTACCATCTTTGCGTAATATAAAAATGATTGCAACCGCCTTTACGACCCTTTTTTGGATTGCGACATGGAACACTAAATCATACTGATGAAAATGATAATAGTGATTAGATAAAATTATAAAATTACGATTAAAATTGTGTTCAAACCGCAATAGTAAACTGCCGGTCGGCGCGGCTCACTAGTCAAACTGGTGGTTTATAAACCGAACCCGAACAGTTCTCAAACATATGAAATAAAAACAAACGAGTCAATAAATCTTCTATATAGCGAAACATTTATCTGGGACATTTATGTCGCCACAGCGATGTTTCGGTTTATACATATGCCGGATTTATTAGTAATAAATAGTAATAAAAAGTAATAATCAGCAAATTGTTCTAGGGAAAATTTAATATAAAATGTAGATTTAAAATTACTTAAGGCCATGAAATTTGGATAATTCAACATTAGATAATTCAGGTTTTTGTCCTTTCTTAAAATTTCTTTTTTCTGTAAAGCAGTTCTTTTTATTGTTCCTTTTCATTTTAATTTTAATGTCATTAGATAAAATCACCAATCATATCATCCATTTTGTGATCATGTGTTTCGGCATAATGAGGTAAATTTAAAATAAATGTGACTTTAGTAAGACGATATAACTGGTATTTCATATTAATATGAAGTTATACGAAAAAAAACTTCTTGATAGATTTTGGCACTTTCGGGTTAAATGAGGTCGTTATATAGAGAGATTTAATGTATAGTTGTCATTTGTTAAAACCATTGACTCTATGCCACATGTTGAATTGTTTGAAAAGACCAAGATGTGAAAGCTTTTAAAGCTCATTCAATTTAAAAGCAAGATCTTATTTTAAAGCAGCATTACCAAATAACTGAGTAAAAATATCTGAAAATGGCGTTACTATCTTTGAAGAAGAAAATATATATTTGAAGTGCTTTTGATGCAAAATTGACTTTTTTTTAATTAATTATTATTGTAATGGGATCCAACAGAATATAAATTATAATATATCATTCAAAAGTCAATCATTCAAGACTATTTTTAAAAATTAATTAATGAGATTCATCCTCGCTCGGAATAATATAATCCAATGGGGGCATTAATCTTGCTATATAATAGATGTGTTTCTTGTTATATTTGCTGGTTACAAGCATTTGATGGTTTATTAAATGATGGAAATTTATACTATCATTTCGATTTGATGCATGCTGTATGTTTGGTGAGACAGAATTCCTGACAATTGAAGATGGAACAGGAATACTTCTGTCATCCATCTGGTGCATGGGGTGGAATTGGCATAATTTCTACATGTATGCTCAAGAATAGTCTTCAGTATACAGCATATACACCATTAAAAATATTCCAAAATCTCAAAAAACCAACACCTTACAATGTAACACCTAAAAAGCAAAAATCCAGCTAACATTAATAGACAGATCAAGAAAAAACTGGAAGATTGGATCCGAATTTTTATGAATGTATTTCTAGCAATAGTAATGGCTGGCCAACTAAGTTAGATACTGATTTATTAATTTTTTTTATTTATAAATAAATAAACTTTTTTCATTGAAAAAGTGTTTTGGATCAAAACCTAAGCTACATAGTGAATGATATGATTTTTTTTATAAATTTAAGATCCAATGCTTTTGTCTAGATATTGTGTATATTATTTTTTAAAATTATCATTCATTCTGATTGTTTGAAATAATGCTGAAATCGTAATTCCAATGCCCTAAAAATAAATAAAATTTATATCAGAAACCTTAATCATAATAATATTAATAATAAATATAATGATTATATTTATTTCCAAATTTTACCTTCGTTCCTCCTTCCTATATAATAAATTTAAAGATTTTGGTGCTTTCCAAACAGGTAACATTATTGGAATTTTTGTTCTATTTTTAATTTAAATAAATTAATATATATATATATATATATATACGTATATTACTTTAAAAAAATACAAATACATACATTGTATCTTTTTCTTTTGTAGGGTCAAAATAGGCTATTATACATCCAGAATCTAATTATGTAAAAATCAGTAATGTTTATTTGTAAATAAAATTTAAAATAAATAAATATCACGTCCATTTATACACATAAAAATATTTATATATATAAATTTACCTAGTTCTTTTATTCTTTCATTAACATCCTCATCAAATTTACTAAATAATGGATTTGGTTCAGATAATAAAATCTCCAATTCTTTTAATCCAAGATTAATGACTCTCTTTGAAGATAGGAAAGGAAATATTGTGGAAATCCCTTCAGCATTGCACCTAAAATTACATCTTACTACATCATATGTATCATGTCTTGTAAATAACTTTACTCCGGTATTTACTATCTGTTATAATAATCAATAATTATATATTAATTAATTTGGTAAAAATATATGTGAAGATCATATTGTATAACTTACTCTAAGTTTTTGTGTATTAATTGCTTGTAATAGGGTCTTTACAGCACTTGAGACTAAATACAATGTTTTATTCTTTTCAGTTTCTGAACGAACAAGTATTTGATCTACAGGAAATTCATCTGATAACCCATAAAAATTTCTAGAAATGGATAATCATAAACAATTTAAAAGAGTAAATTATATAATAATCCAAAAATGTATACATACTTTATTATTGGTATTTCTTCATTGTCAGGAGATAAAAGTATAAATGGTTCTTCTCCGCTTAAAGAATTTTTACTTGAAGAGTCATCTTTTTCAACTTTTATTTCTTTCTTCTTGATATTATTGTTTGACTTTGCCTTATTTTTTTCAACTTTTGTACGTTTAGATGACTCTTCAATATTGCTTTCTTCAATACTAGATCTTTTAGATGGCAGTAACAAATCACATTTGTCCTCATTATTATTATCATTTTTCTCACTATCATTCTCAGTAATCTTTTGTTCAATGTTAATATCAATAACATCATTTACATTGTTATTATTGTAACCATCATCATCATTAATGTTTTCCTCAAGTGTATTATTTTGATTGATCCCCAAATCCTCATCTACAATTTCATTTTTAATAGTATCTTTACTTATTATATCAGTTGATGATGATGATACTGATGGTAATTCTTTCAAAAGTGGCACCAAATTACATTTGTCTTTATTATTGTCATTATTTTTCTCATCATTTTTCTCATCATCATTCTTAATAATTTGTTCAACAACACTATTTGTGTTGCTATTATTATAAACATCATCATAAATGTTTTCCTCAAGTACATCATTTAGATTAGTTTTCCAATCTTCTTCATCTACAATTTCATTGTCAATAATGACTTCATTTTTAGTTATTATACCAGTTGATGATGATGACTCTGATGATGATTCGGAAGCCTTAATAGGATTTACATCTGTTATAGGTCCAATTTTTTGAAGTACAGCTATAAAAAATCCACCTGTATTTTGAAAATGTGGATAAACTCGTATGCTAAATATAAAATAAAAATTTATTATATGTAGAACTAATTATTATTTTGATAATTTTTTAAAAAAAACATACCATCTTTCCAAATGAAATTCATCAATATCTTTGGGTGGCCAAAGTGATTTAGGATAATTTTTTTGACAATTTTTATCAATATCTTGTATTTTATCCACCCAGTTACCATCTCGATCCATCACCTAATTAAATAATAACAACAAATAAATTATATGAATTATATATATTGAAAAAAAAAAATTATAATAATTTAAAAATCCCATAATAATATATAGAATACCTTCCATGTTTTAACACCAGGTGTCCTAATCAATTGTGGTAATTGATCAGATACATCTACTAATTCTAAATTTCCTATTTTTATTTTAAAAAAAAAAATCTATCAATATCAATTATGTATTTCTTTGCACACAAAAAAAAATTTTTTTTTTTAAACCTCTACATCTTTTTAAAACTTCTACTATAACTGCCTCATTTTCTAATGGATTAAAAGTGCATGTTGAATAAACAATACGCCCATTTTCTTTGAGTAATTGAGCTCCACGAAGTAAAATTTTTACTTGCATACTAAAAAATCAAGAACAAAGTTTATACAAAAAAATTATCATTATTTATACATATATAAAATTTACATACGAGTGTAAACCTATAGGATTTCCAACATTCCATTTATTCCATATCAAAAAATTTTTTCTTAAAGTTCCATCACCACTATGTAATGTATTACAATTAATCAATAAAATTTGGTATTAAAATTATTATGTAAAATTAAAAAAAAATTAAAAAATAAGAATCTATCAAGTAATAACCTGCAAGGCACATCAGCCAATATTCGATCAAATTGAATTGCTTTATCTTTTTTACTATTTTCCTAAAAAAAAAAAAAAATCAATAAATAAGTCATATATTAATCAATTCTAGAAATTATACTAAATACATAAATAAATTACCTGTTTTATAAGAATACTAGGAAATTGTGCTGCATCATGATTTGTTACCACCAAACATGGGCTTCTTAATCTTTTTGTTTGATGAATAAGCATATAACTTCTTCTTGAATCAGCATCATTAGCAATCACAATACCAGCTATATATATATTTAAAAAAAACTTAATTATTAAAACACAAAAAGAATTGATATAATTAATATTCATACATGGAATCTTGATTTCCTGTGAATCATTTGCATGAATTGCTTCAATAATTTGAGAAGTTTTGGATCCAGGAGCAGCACACATGTCAAATACCCAATGATGTGGTTTAACATCTAATAATAATGTTGGAATCATGCTAACAGCTTCTTGTCTACTAATATTACCCTATAAAATAAACATAATTTGTTAAAAAAAAAGAGGATAGAAAAAATTCACAAACTAACAAATTTGTATACTAACCGCATCAGTTTCAGCCACTAACCATTTATGAAAGTATTGGAAAGCAGGATCTTTTTTAATTGTATTTCTTGGAGCTAAATGTTGCCAAGCAAGTTCGTCAGGATACCTTTAAGACCAATAAATCAATTTATTTAAAAACATATAAATATAAATTTGTTGAACTATGAATGGGAATTGATATCTTTAAAAGAAAATTTTATAATAAATTATAAAAGCAATTTAATAAAAATTACTTTTACCAAGGCAAAGGCTTTGGAGCTTCTGATTTTTGATCATCACCAAATTGAATTTCATTTATTTTTGGAAAATATTTGGTTTTCATTAAATCTCTTAATTCAAATGAGTGACTTTATTTTTTTTTTTTAAAAAAAATAATAAATTCTTAGTTTGTTTATCAGGTCATAATTAATCAATAGAACCGCATCAATATTGACAAGTAAATACCTTCTAAACCCAGTAATTCTGAAACATGTAGGAAGGTTTGATTTATTAAATTCCATAAATTTATTCCATTCATCTTCATCGGGAATAATGTTTTGTGCCTTTTAATTATTAAAGCAATTTAAAATAAAATAATTAATAAGTATTATAAACCTCTCATACATGATATTTAATTTATATTGATTGATTGATTTAATACCTTATAATAAGTGACAAATTTTTCATTTTCTCTTATAGCTTCAACATATCCCTGTCTCTTATTATCAATTTTAGCACCTTCGATATTATCATCACGAGATCTTTTATTGTTTTTTTTCTTTTTTTTCCAACCCATAATAACAATAATTTATCAAAATAATTTTTTTTGAAATTGATCAAAAAAAATTCCGAATCGTGTAACCAACCGTTTTTTTTAAAACATAAAATAAAATTGTGCCATTAAAGCTTTCTAATGAAAATACTCTTGGAGCTTTCTATATATACAAAAGTTAGATATTCAAAAAACATCAACATTGCCCACATCAACATGGATAGATTTGACTCACATACGATTTTGTCACATTTTTCAATTATTAGAAAATGTAACAAGTATCTCGTAACATATAATGAATTGATCTGCAGACTATTCTGGAATCGAATCCCGATACGGAAATATCCCTGACTGTATTAATATTATACAATATTGTAAGTATTATTAATGCCCGTCCTTCTTAAGAAAACATTAGGGACGGGGAGTAATAGCGCAGTAACCAGTTCCCTTTTCATCCGTCCTTCCCCATGAATAATAGAAAAGGACGGGGGACGGGTTCAAGCCACACCTGGCCGTCCCCCATCTTTTTCACGTGCCCCATTGAAAAGTACTTTAAAATTACCATTACACAATATAAAAAAGATCGACATTTTAAGTCACATTCATGATAATTATGAAATTCCACTATGCTATTGCACACTGCTTATTTGCTGTACTGAGAAATATTCAGAGTCATTTGAGATAAATATGTTAAATGTAATAGGGAATAAAGTAAAGATTGTTTAAAACTATTTGTTAAGTATTTATTCAAAGTATGCTTTTACAAAATTAAATGATGTAACAAATTCTCAATAATTTATTCATATTTTTATAGTTCCAAACATATTAGAATAATTTACAAGGGATAATGAAAACAATTATAATAGTGAATGAATGATAAGCAGGTAAAGAAGTAAGATACAAAATTTGGCATAGACTTTATTTATATCCAAAAAGCTTATGAATTAATTTATAATTATAATATATTTCATGATACTATTTATTAATTTTATTAATTTTAATAACAATATTCCTGATGAATGAGTGATAGGTGATAACTCAAACATTTCATCAGTATATTTAACCATGAAAAAAATTATTGAGTTTTCATGATAACTTTTATGATTATAATTTGAAGCTATTGGTTATTTTTTGATAGACTCATAAAGCAGTTAAAAATAAATGTAATACATAAATTTTGGAGGTTATATGACCATTTAATAAAGCCTTTGCCAAGTTTTCAAATAAAAAAGCATTTACTTGTTGTCGGAATTCCCAGACAGAAATAATATGGTTATGGCATGTGCCATATTATTTGCCATAAATAACGTAAACCATAATGCTGTAATTCCATAATGCCATAATGCCATAATGCCATAAAAGACAATTTTTAATTTATTTTATTTGTCATTTTTTTCAAAGAAAAGATCTGCATAAAATTAGCCAACCATTTTTGTTTCTAGAGTGTCTATCATTACAATATTTAGAAATTCCATATTTGGTAATGACCCTGACTGTATTTTGATTATATCAAGAGATATGGTGCATGGAAAATAGAAACAGCCCTAACTACAAAATCTCAATTTTGAGTTAATAACATTCTTATATGCAATTCTTTACAAGGGTTAATTTTAGCTTAGGAACCATACCTACTTTGATTAGTAAAGTTTTGAGATATTTAAATGAACTTGGAAAATCATATAAGAATTCTTTATTACTTCGGCAACATTTTTATCAATCACCATTTTAGTATTCCATTGAGGCATCCTTTTAATATTGCCATGAACTCTTGCTAAAATAGCATTGTTACCAAGTGATTTTTGATATTTTCAAATAAGTTCTACCAATCCCTAACATATTGAGATAAGTTTCTTGGCAAAGTAGAGTATTATGACCTCAATGATAGAAAGTTCTTTTATTGGATCTGGTTTTCTTTTTAAGATATTTACTAGTGCTTATTGACCCACCATCCATTGCTTTAAATTGAGCCATTAAAAATGTGTCTTGTTCTGAATTGGTGAGAGCTTGAAAAGATTCATGTAATTCTGCAAATTTTTCTTTGGGGATTCTTGAAGAAAAACCACAATCACATCCTTTTTCTAAAAAATTAATTGCCTTTTCATATTCAGTAGATCCATTATAACTATTACCTTTATTAATACTTTTCATATACCTATAACCCTATATATAATTTTATGTTCACTTTGTAGTTTTTGCATTTATTTTAGTATGAAAACATCAAGGAAGCAATTATTATCTTTTAGGGTTAAACAACAAAATTGCTTTTGATTATAAAATTCAAAATCTAAAGATGTATTTTCAAACAATATTTGAATTTTAATAATAGAATTCCAGGTTTTTTATATCCATTAATGTAGAAAATCATTTTTTGGCTATGTATAATTATTCAGCCTACTTGAAATTAATATCAAAAAAAATTTTTTTAAAGGTAATTATTTTTACCTCTAAAGTATTGTTAAGGCAAGAAAAAATGACTATTATATAAAAAATCCAACATAAAATAAAGTCCTAATAAGTAATAGCTGCCAATCTATGAATTGGAAAATTTTATAATTTTGGGGACAATCATCATATAAAACTTTTAAATGTGTAAGAATTGTCATGAAAAATTATCACATACAATATGTAACTTAAAAAAAAATCAAGCAAAAGAATAAAATAAAACCTAGTTTTTTAAAAAATTTCATAATCAAATAAATTTCAGAAGGCTTTACTATAGAGGAAAGCAAGATTTGATAGACTAAAACATCAAAAAAAAATTTTTTATAATTTGTTGCAGACCAGACTATATTTGTGGGTAAAATTCAAAAAGAAGTGCTACCATTTCCATTAACAACATGAATAATAAATTTTGTCTCATTGAGTTCCAATTGAACCCTCATATTTAAAATGTATAGGAACACATGTTTGTTTTTCTCATTTGGGAATTTTCAATTAATGAAAGTCCCACCCAGATTACAGCAAATAGGTTATAGTGAAGTGTTAGAACAAGTTACCAGTAACAATAAGTCGAGGTTTATGTTTTTGTGGAAATATTATAAGTTAATTGTGAAGAAATTGAGATTTATGAAATTATATGTTATTAAGCCCAAACTACTTTTTGTTATTGGGCGAAATTATTTTAAAGTTGTTTAAATTAAAACAAGTTGATTCATATAGTTGTTTAATGTTTATGCTTATAAAAAATGTTGAGAAGCCTAAATTGCTCAAACTAGTTTGGGATTTGAGAAAACAATTTGGACCAGAAACCTTACTCAGCCAAAAAATTTTTTGAATAAATTACTGATTTTTAGTACCTTCACTTTTAATTGTTTTAGTTTTTGTTGATCCTAATTTTTGTGCTCAATGGTGAATTTGTTTATGGTGTTGTGTTCACTTTTCTGGTTTCATTGCAGTATGCCCCATAATGTAATGCTCCATCTGAAACTTTTCTTTTATATTCCAACAAACTGGATCATAGCCACCAACTAGCTTCTTTTATTTTCATAATAGCTATAATATTATAACATTTATCCTCAAAAATAGATTTAGAGAATCCATCTACAAAAGTTCATAAGGCATATCACTTTTGTTATATAGATCATTTTTGTAATCAATCCAACTTGAAATTAGAGATTTCATTTGATTTTCCTGCTTTTATTTCTGTTCTTGTTTTCAAGATTGGTATTTTTTGAATAATTTTGGCTACCAATCATCATTAAGATATCATTGAAGAATTTCTTTTTATCAAAACTTTTTTAAATAGAAAATTTATAAGAAAAATCATTGAAGAAATTGAATTGAATCTTATCAACAGAATTATATTTTCTATATATTCTAATTTTCAACTTGATGAAATCCTCCTGAAATATCTTTTTCCAATTTTTCATGCTGTACTATTCCTCTATTATTCCAAATATCCATTTCTTTTAATTTCTATATCATCCTTTTCTAATATAGATATAATAGTAAGCATAGACTTTTCAATCACTGTACATTAGATTTAAAAATAGTTCTGAATTTTTACACCACAACAATCTTAAAGCAAATTAAACAATTGATGACACAATGAATACAAATTAAATTCTGTGAAATCAATTTTTTCTTTCATTAATCAAATAGCTTTGCAAATCATTGATTAATTCATTAAAAATCGCATTTCCATCTAGATTATCTACATCAATAGTTCCATTATCTATAAAATAAAAAGTTAATTACAGTCAAACCTCGTCACAGCGGATTGATGGGACCAGCCAAAAAAATCCGTTGTGACAAGAAATCCGCTATGGTGA